GTTTTTAACTGTTTTTTAACTCTCAAGAATTACACAGTGAGGAATCGAATGCTTAGAATATATCCATTACATCTGGTGTTCTCTCTTCAGCTACATGGTCGGAAAAAACTAATGATACTCGCAATCCGAAAAATACCATGAATCATTGTCGCAACTCCCTGCGGAGTGCAATTCATGATAAGTAAAATCTTCAAGGAATTGTTATTTTTACCGTAACAGCACATACTGCAATGGAACAATAAATATTACCTACGAAAACCCTGAATTTTAGAGCTATATAGCCAAATATACACTTCTAAATTAAATTTTGAAAAATATTAATACTCATTTATAATAATCCAAAAGTATAGCGACAATAAATGACGTAAAAAAGGAAAGATCTCCCACAAAGCATAAAGTTGTGAGAATCACGCACCCTAGCAAAGAGCGATTCTCCAGGAATGTTGATCTGCGCCACCCTACTGCTGTAAAACGACAGGTACAAACTGTAGTCAGGCAGGAAGCTAGAATGTGGCAAATCGAAGTAGTACGTCTCTAAGCGTCGACAGAGCCTCGATAGCATTTCGGTGACTGGAGTGATGTTTCGAGAGGCGTACGGAGCAAAATCCACATTGCCAAAAATATTTTCAACTTTGATCAATAGATCATTGTCGCTAAAATCAGATTCAATTTTATTCATTAATGTTATGAAATCTTAGAACACAATAAAAAGTGCGACAAATTGAATTTCTGAATTCATGAATTAACAAGGACGAAAAGTAGCGATAATTATTGAATCACAAAGCCATATTTGAAAAACACATTCAAAATAAGTTTTCAACAGCATATTAAGATCACAGCTTTCAGAAACTGGACACTGGTTCAAGTACAGTCTCGTCTTTAAGCATCACGAATAAACAAATATATCAGTGCCTGAACGGAATCATCAGGCAGGATATATTATATTTTGTTACCCCTATAATATGATAGGTGCTTTATCACTCAAGTAACTACCTTCCAAATAATCATCCAAAGTTTGTCAAAATAGGCAATTATAAGCAATTATAAATAATCCGTAACATAGTTTAAAAAAACATAGTTATGTGATTAGCTATTTCATGACAAATGTTTGAAAAATACGTTAACTTATCATATGCAAATCGATGATCAGCTACATGGAAAACCATAAATCATAAGCAGTGCTACAACTTCTCAGGTGACACAGGTGCCGCTCTATCACCAGAGGTTTATCAACATACTAGTTACCACAAATGTACGTTAAGAACGATTCAATAGTAGCTAAAACATTATTAATCTGTACTTCGAAATGTACGTACGGAGGTAATCCAAAGCGGTGTGGGACATATCAGAGCAGCCGCTTTGGCGTATGGCGTTTGAGTGTAGACAGACGGTTGCCGCAAATGATCGGTGCTGCGGTCGCCCACTTGAATATGTATAATAAAAAATTGTCATGTGCATCAACTCTTTGGCCCCACCTTTAATGCCATACGTCAATGAGACGCTCTCTGAAGTACGATGCAGTCGTCATAATTGTGAACTTTTGATTACAACCTCACTGTGGTGACTGTGTGATGTCATCAAGTCAGCCTGAGATCCTGCGGTCACGAGTTTGATTCAGTAACATCAGTACTCGGTCATCTGTATCAATTATTTCACATCACCCTAAATGCCAACTAGCAATGGAAAGCTATTTGCGAGCACAAGGCGATGCTATTGTGAAACTTAGGAATTTCGAAGATTCGATTTTATTTTTTTTGATTTTAACATAATGGTTAAGTCGGCTTTCGATTATTTAGCCGAGATTTGGAATTTCTGCAATTTGCAGACATCTACCTCAAAGATCTTTTGCTTTCTTTCAAAAGATTGCATGTAATAATCCTCTATGAGCTTGCGCAATTATCATGGTGAAACTGTCAGACGAAAATGTAAACCCAAAATTAACACCGTGAAGAAAGTTTCATACTGTGCTAACAGAGAGCCTTCGACAAATCTGTAACATGAAGGTTCAGATCAAGTAATTCATATATAGGAAGGAAAAGAAAGGAAGAGAAGTTTGCAACCATTGGAATGTCTGTCTTCCTTACACTTACATAACGGAACCGATTTTAGCAACCTTCTTTCAATGAAGTTAATGGTGAGAGCGCTAGTCTCCGTTTCTACGCCATGAACCACGAGTGTCCTACTTTTGCAAAACAAAATTGACAGCAACTATGTGGCAGGCACAGCATGCAGAGTCTTTTTTACTTCCCACAGAGTTGAACTTATTTATGGACCTCAGAAGGAATGAACTGAGTGATACTGACAGGAGCGGGTTCCAATCCAAGAACTTTCGGCTCTGAATCCAACGGTTTGTGATCAGAGTAAACCTGATGTGAACCAACGTGTGATAAATTCCTTACTCAATAGAATTTGTGGCAAAGATAAAGACCGCTCGCCGAGTCCGACTACTTATGCGGCATGCCACCAGGCCACATACAGGTAACTAACCAGGTAGCCAATTAAATAAACTCAAACTCCGGACCAAATGACTGTGCTGACCCAATGACATCACACAGGCACCACGATAAATCATAAAATAACATGGAAATTGCCGTTGACCATATGAACGAACTGTGTTCTTAAATAAGTTTCTACGGGTAGAAATAGTATGGCTGAAAGCAAACAATTGATACAGACTATCATCTACCGATGATATCGGTTAAGACTCGCCAGTGCAAGTCCTTGCGCTGAATTATTGGCGCTGCGCAGTTACACGAATTTGGAATTGTAATCAGAAATTCGCAAGTATGACAACGACATCATACTTCAATCACAAAAAGAGTTTCATTTAATTGACATACACCATAAGAAGTTAAACCAATTAGTTGATGCCGATGACCAACGTCAGTTTATACAGATTCAAAGCAATGACCGCAGCACCGAGGGATAACCGTCAAAACGTCATACGCTGACCAAAAAGAATTATGAAGAACCGAGTATGTTTGATTAGTCGCTATGAAATGAGAGAAGTGTTCGTGAAATAAATTTGCAAAAAAATGTTTTAAAAGTGCTTTCGTTGAAGCAAGAAATATTAAGACCAACAACGTTAATGAACCGCAACGAATAATTTCGCAGGTCATTTTTAATCAAATCTACAACAGAGTCGATGTCTAAATCTCAATTCAGTTTAACAATAATCTGACAAATAAAAATAAATATAAACATCAAGAAACTATAACTTACAATGACACGAGATCATAGATTTTCGTTAGCTGACTCCTTAAGTAAGTCGGGAGCAGACTGTCGTCCATGTCGTTTCTGTGTTCGAATGCATACCGCCGACAGTACTGCAGCATTGAATGAGCCAGGTGAATCGCCTTTTCGATCCATGTCTCGCGAAATTCGTTGCACAACTAAATGAAAG